CCCGCGCGCAGAAGGGGTGGTCGCTGGGGTGGCTCGTCCTGCGCCCCTTCCTGGCGGCCCGCCTCGCGCGGGTCTACGAGGCGGGGATCGACACCGCCCCCGAGGCCGTCGCGTGGCGGCTCGCGGAGGCCCGCACCCACCCCGGGCGCGCCCGCGCACGGGCGTTTTTCGTCCGGGTGCTGTACCCCACCTGGGCGCTCGCCACCGGGCTTATCGGGCTCGCCTGGCGGGTGGGGTTTTTGCTCGAACAGACGCCCTTCGCGGGGGCCGGGGATCGGCTAGGCGGGATCGTGCTCCGCCGCGCCACCCCGGCGGAAGGCGCCGCGGTGGGGAATCCCCGCGCCCGACGAGCCCTGCGCATCGCCCGCGTCCTGCTCCTCGTGATGCTGTTTGGGGTTTAAACCTCCTGCGGTTTTCCCGCGGCGGGGCGGGGTTGGGGGGGGTTTTTTCCTCCCCTTCCGTCTCGGGAGGGGGGGAGGAGGCGTTGCCGATCCCACCCCCTCCCGTGTGGGGGCGGGATGTCGTCACCGCGGCGGGGAAACCGCGGGAGGCGACCCCGCCCCCTGGGGTGTGCGCGGTGTGCGGGAAGGCCGTCACGAACGCCGCGGTCTGCGGCGCGAGCGGCGTCGTGGGGTGCTATCCCTGCTTGCAAAGCTACGTCCGCGAGCACCACGCCTGTCCGGTTTCCGGGAAAACCGCCACGGAGGAGCAGATTCGGCGGATTTTTGAGTGCTGAACACGAGGGATCGGCGAATGGGAAGGGGGGAAAGCGGGGGAATAACATCTAACCAAACCAAAAAAGAAAAGAAAAGAAAAAGGCCACTACCTCCAAAAAGAAAGAAAGCCAGGTCGGCAGAGGGGGTGGTGAGACCGCCCAAGACTCAAAAGGGGGGGGTTAAGGAGAGATGAGTGGAACAAAAAGCAAGGCGTTTTACTTGTTTGGTTTCTATGAAGGGCAGGAGGCGAGGACGGATTTTATGGTGCCGTTTGTTTTCTAAGGACTTTGGAAGATTTGGGTGGGCCTTTCCGACATTTGTAAAATGGGAGCTTGTTGAAGACATAGGAAAACGGCTTTCCCCTCCCTTCTCTTCCCTCTGGTTGGAGACGTACGACTATGTTGAATGAATAAATCGGATTCCATCAAGCGAAGTATGCGTCTAAATATTTATATCAGCGATCATCGCTAAAACCTATTTGGCATGCATACACATAAACACACACACACACATATATATATATATATATTTATAATAGTATGGACTGAAGGAGGCATGCTTTTGTTTCTCCATTAATACCCTCCATCACTTTTTTGGTGTACATTTTCCGTTCACGTAAGCTATAAAAATGAGGGATCTAGCAAAATAGCAACTGATAAGCAAACAATCCGATGAAGAGTGATGGGGACGCAAATGACAGGTCTGACGGTGAGCCATGCCACCACTCCTTTTGCCTCAAATTTTTCTCCCAACAAGAAAATTCGTTTGCTCGTATTTCTTTTGTCTGTTGTTGTTGTGGTGGTGGTGTAGTTCTTAGAAAAAATAAAATAAAATCATAAAAAATGAGTGGGATTAAAGGCGGTGTCGGGAGCTTTCTGTTACGCCGCTCTGCCCCGAAAAGCATCCGACAGCGCCACCTCACCGGCCCGCAGTTTAACAAACGAAAGTTTTTTAATTTTCCCAAAGGGCATCACCGGCTGTATCGTCGTGTGGCGCCGATGATGCAACTCACGGCCTCCCCAACGCATCAACTCGAGCACGAGCGCTTTGCGCACCTCCCGGGCGACGTGCGGAGGCGCCCCGCCGAGGATTTCACCTTCAGTCCACGCGTCGATAGGGCGTTGTACGCGTGGGAGAAACGCGGTGGGTTGCAACTTTATCAGATGGGTGGAAAAAAAGAAATCTTTGTTTGCTATCGCTGTGGTTACCCCGTGAGCAGCCGGCTCGTGGCGATCCGTGAGGATAACTGGGATTATCGGATGTGCTATAACTGCTATACATCCGTGATGGTGAAGGGGATGGAAAACCTGGTGTGATGGTTCGCATATCGTGTGCGCTGCTCTTGTCGATTTTGCTTTTTAAAAAAAAAATTTTTTCTTTTAGTGAGAGGAAATGCGTTCGATCCCCTTCTAATGTTTTCCCACCGCATAGGGGGTGGATAACTTTGGGATTTCTTTGAAGTGAATGATAGATGCGTGTATCGTTGATAGCCTCTGATAATTTATTTTCCTCTCTCCCTCTACATCTATCTATATATTTATATAATAGACTCTCTCTCTCTACCTGTGTGTGTGTGCGTGTGTGTGTGTATGCGCGCTCTTACAACTTTTTAGAATGTCAAACTATTATTATACAGGCGCAGATCCGGCAGAGCAGCCCCTAGTGGATGAACAACAACAACAACAGCAGCCGGATATTCGGCCGGAAGGAATGTCAACGAAGCAGGATGATATCATCCAGCGCGTGGCGGAATTTGTCGTGAACTCCTGTGATGGAGCGAAATACCAGCACAAGCTACGCCGCCGGACGAAGTTCAACTCCTATTTTGCCTTTCTCGATCCCGAACACCCTTATCACGCGTATTATGAATACCTGATCAAATCCTATCAATATTGGAAAGACGTACGGGATGCCCTCTCGGCGAACGCCGGGCAAGATCAGGAGGCCTACGCGTATTATCAACAACAGCTCTTTGAAGAGCAACAACAGCAACAACAGGAGATTCAGCCGTATTATTCTTACAATTCCGGCGAAGGTTCCTACGCGAGTGGGGCCGGAGGGGCTTTTCAATACGGCGATTTAGCAAGTTCATCAGGAAGGATGGCGACGGATGCGCGAGGAGGGGAGGGAGGGGGGGGGTATGCAGGAATGCCGTCTGGCTATCCGCCTTCGCCATATGGGGATCCTTACGATCCGACGGCGGTGGGGGATTTCCCCCATCCGGCTTCTGGATGGGGAGGAGAACCCGCCAACCCCGCGCAAGACGAGGAGGTCGAGGAGGAGTACGAATTGGTGATCGAAAATGGAATGCAGAAGCTCGTGCCGAAGGCGAGGTAAACCTCCATAGAGGGAATGGGAATAATTACACCTGCCAATCGAATAAATCAGAATGGGGAAAAGGGGATGGGGAGAAGGAGGAGGGGGGCGTGTGTGTATCATATACTTTTTCCAGCGGTATATCTGTTGTATTACACCTATACCATTATCATGCATACTGATCGGATCGTTTCTCTTTCCTTCCTTTACTTTTACTCTAGCTTATGCATTATTATTATTGAAGCATCATTGCGTGTAGAAGTGAGGATTTTTTTTCCCTCCCACAGGTCAACGAATTAACGCTTCACGTTATTCAACCACCACCACCACTACAAGAAACAAAGAATAAAAAAGAAAAAAAAAGGGGGCAGCCGATACCTACTAACCCATGGGGACTTGTTGCACCACAATAGAGCAATCGGAGGTCGGGGTGATTGAACGATGCGGGGAATTTTCGGGCATCGCATCGCCCGGTTTTCACTGCCTGGGGTGTTTCTGGAACAGCGTCGTGGCGCGGATCTCAATCCGGCTGCAGGAGTTCCAGATGAATGTCGAATCCAAGACGAAGGATAACGTCTTCGTCTACGTCTCCCTCACCCTCCAGATCCAGGTGATTCCGGATCGCATCGAGGAGATGCACTACCGCGCCCTCAATCCGCATACGATCCTGCGCGATAACGTCAGCAACTCCATCCGCGCGAAAATCCCGCTGTACAAACTCGAGGCCCTCTACGTCGAGCGCGGGACGATCTCGCAACAACTCAAAGACGAGGTGGATGTGCGGATGGGGAGTTATGGGATGGAGATCATTTCGGTCTTGATCTCCGACATCAACCCGGGCGCGCGGATCACCCACACGATGAATGAAATTCAACGCCTGCAGCGACTTCGCGTCGCCGCCGTGGATGAGGCGGAGACGAAAAAACTCCAGCGGGTGCGCGCCGCCGAGGCGAAGTGCGATGCGCGCCGCCTCGCCGGGGAGGGGCTGGCGGAGCAACGAAAGGCGATCGTCGCCGGGTTGATGCAATCCGTGAGCGCCGTTCAAGGGGAGATCTCCGCGCTTTCCATCACCGACGCCACGAATATGCTGATCATGAATCAATACTACGACACCCTGCAGAGCATCGCGGGAAATGCCCAGTCGAGCCTGATGCTCGTCGAGGCTACCGGTGGCCTCGAGAAGGCCATCTCGCAGCTCAAAAAGGGCGCCACTCGGCTCATGAAGTAAGAGAAGGGCGCGCGCAGGGGGAGGGGAGCGAGGGGGGAGGAAAATGAAACATCCCCAAAGGAAAAAAAAGAGATGAAGACAATGAGTGTGGGTAGGGGAGGGTATGCGTGGGTGTAGGAGCGGTGGGGAGGCGGGAAAATGATCTAGGGAAATAGGGATGAACCAAGTTTAAAGTACTTTTTTCCTTTGAGTGTATTTATAGATTTATATATATATATATATTTGTCTCGGTTTTATTTTTTTCAGGTATGCGAGTTTGCTTCTTCATTTTTTCTTTTTCAGATCCTAAGTTGTTCGCATTGCTTGAATGTTACAGTTCAATTCATCGATAAGTCTTTTATTTTTTTCCTCATATATGTATGGATAGATGGATGGATTTATGCAATTCGCTTATTTGAGAGAATATTTATTTCTGGGACTCCGATCATTTAGCTGATACCGAAGGATCTTAAATGTCCCTCATTTAGGCAAGAATCTCAAGGAAAGCTAGTCGGATTCAGGAGGTTGGACTTCCTAATTACATTTAGTCAACTATTTTTCGTTAGAATTAACCTTGTTTGCTACCCTTTTCATATTCCAAACCATCAAGTATTTATCGTCGGGTAGATCCTTTGTCCTTTTGTTTGGTTACCTTTTTTTAGAAAAAAGTATAGTAATTTTGTTTGTCTTCACACATACAAACTCACATATACTTGTATATCTAGTGTTGTGTACGTGTGTGTGATTGCGTTTCAGATAAAGATAAAAGAAGGATAATGAGCACAAGCCGTTACTCCGCGTTTTTTTCCCCGGCTGTTTAATCCATAATTGCGTGCATATTTTGTACGTGTATTTGTATAATGTATATCATGTGAACACATGTGCCAACGTTCATTTTTTCTACACTATTAAAACAATATGCCCTTATTAGTATTAAAAGGTCGATACCATCTCATTTCGAATAGAGCGTATTCATATAAATAAATATCTATATATATTTTAAAGAGTGATTCCCTTTTTTCCTTAAGCGTCAAATCGGACCATTTTCTCTTTCCAGCCACCTTCCTTCCCTTTTCTACTTTTTTTTCTTGCCTTCGTTCTTTTTTCCTCCTTTTTTTTTCCTTCTTTGCGATGTCGGACGGTGAATCGGCGTGCTGTTGCTTCTGCGTTCACACCGCCTCCTTCGGAGTGGTGGAGCGTTGCGGAAAGTTTGATCGTCTGGCGGATCCGGGCTGCCATTGTTTGGTGCCCTGCTTCGACACCCTCCGCGGCTCCGTCCCCCTCGGCCTCAACAACACCGTCGTTGACGTGAGCACGAAAACGCGCGATAACGCGGTGGTGCGGGTGGAGGTTTGCATCCATTACCGCGTCGTCGAGGATAAGGTTTCGCTCGCCTTTTATCGCCTGACGGATGCGTCGGAGCAGATCAGCAGCTTTGCGGGAAGCATCGTCCGCGGGGAGGTGCCTAAATACACCCTCGATGAGGTGTTTTTGATGTCTGATGAGATCAAGAAGGTGATCGACATCGAGCTTTCGGATCGACTTGGTGAGTACGGCTACGTCCTTGAGCGGACCCTTCTCACGAAGATCGACCCCAGTGTGGAGGTGAAGGAGGCGATCTCGCAAACGCAGCTCAACGCGTATCTTCGCATGGCGGCCGAACACAACGCGGAGTTGCAGCGCATCCTCACCTTAAAAGAAGCGGAGGCGACGTACGAGGAGATGCGGCTTTCCGGCGTCGGCCTCGCGCAGGAGCGAAAGGCGATCATGAAAGGCCTGCAGTCGAGTATCGAGCAATTCGTCGATACGGTTCCCGGGATCGACGCGAAAGGGGTGATGAATCTGCTGCTTTTGAATCAATATTTCGATTCGATGAAGGAGATGGGGTCGAATAAGAATAATCGGGTCGTGATGCTGCCAGGGAGCTCGGGCCCGTCGTCGGGGTTGTTGACAGATGTAATGGCCGCCCAGGTGGCCGCGAGCGAAATGTCGTAAACCTACACATATACATGAAAACATACTTTTTTTTTTTTGAAAAAACTATTATCTTTGTGCTTTTTCCTCCATTTTTTTTTCTTGCATTCTGTTGGATGACGCCTGCAACGGGCAAAAAGAATGGCGAGGGAAAAAATTGTGTAGTTTTTCTATGAGCTTTTATTGTGCTTTATAACATAGGGATGATCGTATAGATAGATAGGGTTGTTCGTGCGGGTTGCGTGTTGTGCACGAAATTTGAAGAACGAAAAAAAAAAGAAGAATAGTGACTCCTCAATGCTTCAAGAGACACACTTTATTCCTCTGTGAGTCGATGGTGATCGATAATTCTTTTTTATTTGCAATATGTATACGAACTTCTGGACTGTTTAGATTGCAAGCATCTTTTTCTCGTAGCTTCTTTGATATCCTTTATTTGTTTAGATGAAAAGGGGTGACGAAATACGGATTGTCTGTTTTCTTCTTGTAGCATTGTCGCTGGGTCCGCATTTTTTCTCCCTCAATTCATTTTATTTTCTTCTCCCACTTTACACTACAAGTTGTAGATTTGGGATGATTCATAATATAGGGAAAAAAGTAACAGAAATCTGTTCAACTATTTATATTCTTTCTGTATCTATGTATTACGGATAACTTTATCGCTATGCTTATTTACTATTATGTGGGAGCTATGGATGAAAGAAAAAAACGCATGAGAAATTCTCTTGCATTTAAGATTCTATTTTTCACTTCATCTTTTTTCGTATTTTCCTCTTGAAAGACATATTTGCTCCCCAAAACAACCTAAGCCGGAAAAAAAGGGGCAAAGGGAAATGTGTCGATGCTTCGACTTGCTTCCGTGGGAGAGCTCTGCCTGCGGCCTAGGCGGACTTCGTCAGGAATGAACAAAGCCACTCAACCAGCACTAAAACACAAATTCACCGATCTCACGATCCGATCTGTCCAAAACAAAATGACAACCATTGTAACCGTCCAAAAAATGAACAGGCATTAATAAAAATTAATTGAATGAGAGCAGCAGCTCCGCGGTCTACCACGAAGTGTGGAGTGCGTAGCACCCCAATGCGCCTATTTACCCTATTTATTTAATGGGGCATAGCGGGGCCAACACTTTGATACCTCAATGATAAACGCACCGTATACGGCTTCGAAGCTTAAGCCGGAAAGCTTACTTTTTTGGGTTATAATTAATGATAGACCAGAATATGGTATTGGTCTCTATGCTTTTTTTTCCCTCATTGTAACTCCTGTTGCTCTTTCCATTTATAGAGAAGGTGAGGGGAGGGGGGGGGGGGAAGAGGACAATTTTTTTTTGTCTTTCAGACTTCTATCCTTCAGCTTCGATCATGCTCTTCTTATTGTTGAGTGAATGTTTAAGGATGTAAAACAAACATCATCAACGAGAATATAAGTGGATAAATTCGACTTTATGGTGGATTTAAACTATAACGGTTCTGTTTGAAGTGTGAATTATTCTGGGTTTTATTCTTATTTTCCCTCTTTTTTTTAGCAATTTATGGGAGCGTACAACCTCATGGCACCTTCGAATTTTGTTAATGAGGGTCTTCAAGCTACACTCCATTTTACTTAGCTCTGTGCTCCTTATCATGTTGTGAATGTATGGTGCTAGTTCCTGGTGGAAATCGGCTTGAAATCTACGTAAACTGTTTTTCTTTTTCCTTTCTTTGGCTACCTTCCTTTAGGATTCTCTTTATTTTCCATTGAGAGCATCCCTGTTTTTGTTCCATCATTAAAAGTACATTTTTTAAAAACGGTTACATAGATTCATTAACTTTCTACTCATATAGTTTCACCCACTATTTTATTTCATAGATAGATTCAATTACGTGTTGGACATATTTGTGTGTTCGCTTATACAACACCTCCATTGCCTCATTTTTTTTTCCACATTTTCATTCATTCACAAAACAGTCCTCCTATCCACGCTGAAGCATCCAAAAAAAAAAAAAAAACTGAGGAAGCTGTCGCGTTCACGTCATGAACCGTCGCCGTAAGACGGCTTCGTTTTCTCCGGAGGTGGTTTTCCCCCCGGAACCCCCACAAGAATCTCCGGGGAGGATTGAGGACGACCCTTGCGACTTTCTTCACCTTCCGGATTCCCTTTTATGGGGCGCACGGAAGCGATTTGATCGCGAAACCCCCTTTCTTATCCGAGGGGCCGCCGAGGAGAGGGCCGTGCTTTACGAAATGGAGCTCAACCCCCCTCCCCCCTCCCCCTCTGCGTCCGTTCCCGTTGCCTGCTTCGCCTCCCCTGCTCATTTGATTTCTTCCGTGGAGGCTGCGGGTGGGGGGGGGGTTCCTTCGGAGGAGCCTTCGGGTTTTTTTTCAACCCCGTTTTGCGGGTTTTCTCGTCGTCTCGCGGCGGCAGGGCGCGCCGAAGTCGTTTCAACGGCCTGTCGATCCCCTTCGAGGGTGGCCGGGGGGCTTTCCTCGGCCTCCCCTCCAGGGCTTTCCTCGAATACGGGGAGAATCCGCCTTCGGGTTGGGGGGAAACCCCTTCCAACAATGGGTACTTCAACCTCAGATTCGATTTCCATGTCGATTTCCCCCTCACACGCGAGAGGATCCTCGTCAGGGGAGGTGGAGAAGGCGCCGATGGAGTTTTCATCGTCCTCACCGCGGGTGCTCCTCCCGAGGGGAGCCTCCGTTGCCGCGGTGAAACCCTCTTCTTCCTCTCCTCCTTCTTCACCGTTGTCATCCTCGGCGGGGGTTTTGATGACGCCGAGCGAGGCGAGAATGAAAAACGCAGGAGCGAAGGAGCGAGAAAGGGAAGGGGGGTGGCCAGTGGAGCGCGCACTCTTCGTCGATCCCGCGGATGTCGGAGGTGGTGAAATCCTCATCGAGCTCAGCGCTGAGTGCAGTGAGGTGGAAGACGAGGAAGAAAGAGAAAAATCGTATGAAACGGAGGGGGCGGAGTGCGTTTCGCCACGCAGAGAAATCCCTACACCGGAGAAGCAGGAGGCTTCTCCACAGAAAGAAAAGGATCCGGGTGAGGTGGAAGCGATTCGTCGGCGGTATGGTTCGCGCCTCACCGAGGCGGAGAGTCGAAATGAAGAGCTGCTCGCCTTCCTCACGTGGTCGGAGCGGCGGGAGGCGATTAAAACCCGTGAACTTCACGCATTCCAACAACGTTTGCACCCTTCCCACCCCATGAATCAGGAAAAACGAATCAAATGGGCGGATTCGACCTCGTTTTCCTCGTTGTATGCCACTCCGTCGGAGTCGTCGGCCGCGGCGTCGTTCGGTCGCGCACTGAAGGAGGTTGAGAAGGGTTCGTTTCGTGATGTATACCTTCACGCCTACGCCCTTCGGGATTTTCCATCTTCCTCACCCCCTCTACTCAAGCGAGAGGAGACCTCTTGTTGTGAGGATTTCTCGGCAAAGGAGCTTCCTCCGGCGGTTTATGTCGCCCCTCCGGCGGGGAAATCGATCCCAGACGCCCTCCTCGCGCCCTCGCTAACGCCGGAATCCTCTCCAGCGCGTTTTATTGAGTGGATTTCGCAGCATGTCGACCTCTACGACGATCTGATCTTTCCACCAGAGCTTGCATTAGCGCCCTCGTGAACGTTTTCAATGAGAGAGCGAGCAGCGAAAGAGGGGATTTGCTGATCTGAGCGGCGAGAGGGATTTGGGGGAAAAAAACGGAAACGATTCGATCACTGGTAACCATACTTCACATTCGGGCTGTTTTTTTGTAGTTTTTACCACACAAGTAGAGAAAGCAGTCCGGAGCGAGGTGAAATGGATGCCACGCGGAGCTTTCCAAATCGTGTTGCAGCTGGCTGCATACAGCTGTACACATAAAATGATTTTTTTTCCACATCAGTTATAGACAAACGCTCTCTACTATCAGCATCCTTGCTGTATTAGACCAGCCTGTTTGGCTTTACTTTCTCGTTCTCCTTTATTACTATGGTTACACTATGACGAAGGGCGAGGATGCTAACTTCGTATCATGTATCGTCTTCTCTTACTGTTATATTTTCCTTTTAGTCAGTTTTCATGTTTATTTGATGAGCGATATGCGGAAAGAGCGGGATCGTAATGCCTGTTTCGCCATCGTTTTGTCTGTATGATCTTTATCAACGGTTATTACGACTCTAAACTTCATTTCCTCCTCCTATTCTACGGTTCTTATCGTGTTCGCATTTATGTGGCGGGGCACATTACCAGTCACGGCCCCTTTTTTTCTTCATTTTTGAAGACAAACCTAGGCGATCGTAGCGAAGAAGAGCGCACCAGGGAGGGAACCCATTACACTCCCCTCTCTTTCTCCTTCTTTCTTACTCACATTCTATTATCGATATCACATTCCGAAAGTATTGATTTCCTATTATATATATATATATATATAGACTCCTTATCGTTACCTTTTCGGTGCTGTTTTTTGTTTTTTTCTAATGTTTGGACGTCGTGTTTTCGCGAGCGCGCCGATCCCACGCCACCTCTACGCACGGCTGCACATCCAAACGAGCTCGCAGGCCGCGCGTCGGATGCCCTCCCTCGCGCCGCTTTCCTCGCTGGAAGGGAAAAACGCCTCGTTGTTCTGCTCGCTTCTCGCGTTTAACGCGCTTTGTCGAAGCAGCGCGGGGGTGGGGGAGGGAGGGGGGCAAGGAGGGGAGCTCATCGATGCGGAGGTCGCGGCCGCGGGGACGGCGTGGGCGCTTCGCCCCATTCGAGGCTCCTTTCATCCTTTCACCCTCGCCTTTACCTGCTCACCGTGCTGGAGTTCCTTTACGATTTGGACGAAAATGATCGATTGCCCATCGCGCATGGACGGAGTCGAGTGGGGGAAATAATGGAAATAGGCAAACCAAACCGAAGGATGACCAAGAGGGCTGTTACCTTTTTTTCCAACTCAAGGCGGCTTTCACGTTATAGGCTTGTTTCAACGACTCCCCACCGCAGACTCCGGAAATGAAAGTCACTAGCGAGAAGGCGTTGAGGTTTGAAATCACCTTCTCATTTTCGGCAAACTACTTTACACTCGTACTTCACGTGCGATCAATAGGAAACATTGAATGTTGAATAACCCGATGAGTGGTTTATTTTTTGAGCATTTATTCACATTTTCCTTCAACTATTTTGCGAAGGAATAATGATCTTCGCAATACTTTCCATGTCTATGAGGTGAAAACAGGACAGTAGGCTTTAAAATGCGGATAGGTTTTATTGCACTTGTGTTTTTATTGTTTGTTTTCCATATCCGAACGGATTCGAAAGGCCTGTAAAGATGCTATGGATTGTTTCTTTCCGCAAATAGAGAAACACAAGTAGGACTTCCATATTCAATATGGATATTTCTATACTTTTTGATTGCATAGCTCTGCCACAATCCTAAAACGAAAAGTAATGGGAAACCTGATGAGTTGTTTTTTTTCCCCAACTGGTTGATAAAATGCATCAATGCGAGAGTTCAAAATAGTGAATTCGTAGTCGTAATGGGGGTTTTGTATTTTATAATGTCTTTTTTTCCCTGTAATTATTGTGATATCGTTCGAATAATCATATTCATACTCTCATTATGAAAAGTATTATTAATTAGTGCGCAAAGGCACTAGCTTAGGTGATAATAAATTTTATAGACCACCTAAGATTCCTAAAAAGCTGGATATCAAGGAAAGAGGGGGGCCAACCAACTAACGAACCAAAATAAAATCACCCCACACCCACTTCTTCCTATCCCGATCGCATTTAGGATTCCTCTTCTTAGAGAGGCGTTATTGCTAGGTGAGGAACCACACACGCCCTTCCCTTCCCTTTCCTTCCCTTTCTTTCTCTTCCCTCGCTCCCTTCTGCGATCGAAGGGGATCGTCATGGAGGTGCATTCGCCCGCCGCGAATGTGAACCTCGCGAGCTCGTTGAATTCACGTCCGTTGCTCCGCGTTGAGGAGCCTCGGATGGAGTATGTGAAGAGGTACACCCTTGAATACCTCGTGTGCAGCGCGGTCTTGATTTACATGACCTTTGGGGTGGTCTTTGCGCAGCTCGCCGGGTTAAGCCATCGCGCCCACGCCGCCTTACAACCCTACCTCCACCCACCCTGGGCTCCTTTTGATAGGCTCGGGAGCCATGGCGTGGATGTGACGGATGGGCAGTGGTATTACATGATCGTCTTCCTTCCATACGCGTTGCCGATTATGGGGGGGTTTGTGGTCCTCTCCCGTCGAGTCCGACGAGGGGCTCGGGGGATGTCGACCCCAACGGAGGCCTTTGGGGGGGGGGGTATTTTGCCCAGCACCTCTCCAACGAGTGGCGCCCGGGGGCCGACGAGTACGACCTCGACCGAGGTGAAAAGTTTGAATGGGCTGAATCCGCGCGGGAATGGGGGTGAGGGGAGTTCGTTTTCCCGTCGTCAATGCACCTCCGTCGAGGTGGGGGAGGGCTCGGCGGTGGATTGGAGCGATTCCCTCCACGGCAGGGCGACGGCGGAGGCCGTTCACTTCGCGCGAGATCTGCGGCGGACGCATATTTTGCATTTCCTCTTTGGCTTGTTCGTCGCGGTGGGGGTGACGGGGATGGATTCCCTCTTCGGTCTCGTATTCATCCTGGCGAATTATTTCGGGATTCGGATGCTGTATAGGTACCGTAGTTTTCGTCTTTCGATGGCGGTGATGTGGAGCACGCACATCGCGGTTCTCTTCCTGCATTATTTTGTAGGGAAGTACCGCTTTAGTTGGTTTGGTCTAGGCATGCTGGATGACCTGTGGCAGCCGTTGTTTCGTTGGACGATGGTTTATAACATGTCGATGCTGCGCATGATTTCGTTCAACATGGATCTCTACGAGGCGATGGATCTCGAGAGCAGCGCGGAGAAGCGTGAACACACGATTCAAAAACACGAGTCCTCCTGCGTGGAGTGCGCCGAGATCCGACAGAAAAGTCGAGACCCCGCGCATGGCTTCTTATCGGAGGAAATTCGATGTTATCGATGCCGCACGGACTGCCCCCGCTTACCGCAGGAGTTTAATCTTCTTAGTTATTTGGCGTATATGTTTTACCTTCCGCTCTTCTTGACGGGCCCTATGCTCTCGTTTAACGCCTACACGTCGTACCTCCACCACGCGACGCGAGGGATTGTTGGGCGGGCGCTCTGGCGCTACGCCCTTCGTTGCGCCGGGAGTGGGGTGTTGCTTTCCTTCTTGATGCACTACGCGCACGTGATGGGGCTTTTGGAGTTATATCGACGCGGGCAACTCAGGGATATAACGCCGCCCGATCCACCCAAAGCGGGGTTTTTTCCCGGAGAGCAGCAAACTCCCGTCATTTCAATATCCCCAACCCAAAAGATCCTCCTTTTTTACTCGCTTCTCGGATTCCTCTGGCTGAAGTTGGATTTCGTTTGGAAGCTAGCCCGCCTGATCGCGCTTTTCGACGGCGTCGAGCCGCCCGAGGATATGCGGCGCTGCTTTTGCAACACGGTAAGCATTCAAGACTTTTGGCGGGATTGGCATGCGTCGTTCAATATGTGGATTGTGCGCTACATGTACATTCCTATGGGGGGGAAAAAAAACAAAGTTTTTGCCATCTTTATCATTTTCTTCTTCATTGCCATCTGGCATGACATCGATGTGAAGCTGCTTTACTGGGCGGGGCTCACGTGCGTCTTTTTCGTTCCCGAAATCTTCGTGACCTCATTCTTCGCCACCACCAAAAACAAATTTATACAACGTCTGAAGAAGCGGCCGATGGCGTGGCGGTGGGTGCGGATTATCGGCGCCCAGTTTGGAATTATGGAGTTGATTTTAATCAACCTCACAGGGTTCATGTTGGGGAGCGCTGCCCCAAAATACGAAGTTTGGGATCTTTTCCACAAAACCAGCTGGAGTTGCATCTTTTTTGTATTGCTATTTACATTTTGCGGCGCAAACGTCGCGGTGCAGGATCGAGATCGGCAAGCTCATGAGGAGCGTGTGCTGCGGATTAAATACAATCTGAAAGCTAAGTGAGCTTGAGTATGTATAGGAGAGAGTCAATATGAACTATTTCAAATTCATAAAAAAACATGGGTGCTGTTATCGTCGTGCACTATTATAAAATTAACTTTTCTTTTTGACTTGTTAGACAAGAAGAAAATGTAATTTTACGAGGTAAGGCCATGAGAGGATTATATGGCCACTTTTTAGCACATAAGTAGCTGATAAGCTCAAAGCAGCTTTACGACGCCGACAGAAAGATCGATTCATGAGGTGGAAAGAAAAGTCAAAAAGGGGAGTCCCTTCACTGAGAATACGATGCGGACAGAAAGCAATCTTTAGTTCTTTTTCACACCCCTTCAGTTTTTGGTTTTCACATTACGCTTATCGTCATTCTATACAGAGTTAGTTATTTCTTCAAGTGCACAGCCTGCGTGGGAGGGGAAAAAAAAATGATGCTTGGTGAGCGTGCCAAAGTCATGATACATAAGTATCATGGTATTGACTGGCTCCTTTTTGTCATCCTCGCGTTTATACTTTTTTTCTGCGATAGATACGTCACGCCGCACTGCCGCCCCTTCCAATGGGATGACCCAACCATCAGCTACCCACATTCGAAGGATACCTTCGGGTCGTTCACGATCACCTTGATCATCGTCGCCTTGCCGGTTTTTTATTTCTTGTTTGAGAAGTTCGCCGTCAAACCCCTCCGTGGGATCCTCGGCGAGCCCATGTCGCTTTACTCGTTGAATGACGTGAAGAAGACCTACGAAGGGCCGCTGCGGGCGCTCATGTCCGACGCCATGATTTCTGAGAAATCCCTACACCACCCCAACCGCTCCATGGCGTACGTGGATGGACCGATCTATTCGTGGATTCGCGCGCATCTCTGGGCGTGCTTGATGGAGCTTTTTTTGGTGGATATGTTGAAGCTCTACGCGGGGCGACTTCGTCCGGATTACCTCGCCCGATTGGCTGAGGCTAATTACAGTAAAAAGTCGGGCTCTCCCGATCCGAAAACGGAGATGCAGTTCTACTGTCAACTCATGCACACGAGTTCGACATTGCGGGATGGTCGGATGTCGTTTCCGTCCGGGCATAGCAGCTCGTATTTTGCGGTGTTCACCATCATGTCGTTTTTCCTCTTCGCACATTTGCGGCCGTTTGCGCGGCAAGGAAGTTTTATACGGCTGCTCATCGCGCTTTCTCCACTTTCGGTGGCTTTTATTTGCGCGGTGAGCCGCACGCGGGATCACAAACACAACTTCTCCGACATCTCCGTGGGGTCCGTGTTGGGGGTGGCGTGTGCGATTTTGGCGTTTTCGACCTCCTTCCGCGTGGCGGGCGGGCCTTTGACGGTGTACCTCGCGCGGAGCGAGATCGATGTGGAGTATTTGCGGCATTACCGCAGCTCCATCTTCAACTCGCGCGGGAATATTAAAGATTCCGTGACGATTCCACTCGAAACCGGGTTAGCGGCGGCGAAGAATGTGCATTATCAGTCAACCGCGCGGCGAACGGAGGAGTCGAACTCCGTCGAATACGGAAGATCCCCGAACACAGAAGTCGAATCGAGAGAAGCGGGCGCAGGAGGGGCGGGCCATGCGATCGTCATGTTTCCCAACGACGAAACCGACAGTCGTAGTACGGGTTTGCCTTTACCGCGCAATATGTTGGTAACGGAGCTTGAGCTTAACGAAAACTCTGAGGCAGTGTCGTGGCTGTAAGTCACCATCTCCTCCATCCCCCCCCCCCTCCCTTTCCGAAAATCATAATAAACAGGAAAGAAGGGAAAATGCGTATGAATGCTGCCCACTTTCTGGAGTATGTGAATTTATCTCAGCCGGACCGTTGCTTTTTAATATCTCTCTCTCATTGTCTACCTGTCAGGATCCAATTATGTTAATATGATGTTAAAATAATGATGCAACAGCCTCGCGTTCCTGACAAAGTGGATAGGGTCGGAAGTAAAATCGTTTGTTATATTTTACTTCTATATGATTTTTAAGCAAACATATTTTTTTAGCTTCGTTAGCTAAACTTTAGTCTGTGTTGTTCACTTCCAGGACTTCATCTACGGGTTTCATAGGCTTGAGTTTAATAGATACTGAGGGTTCTCTCATTTTTTTGCTGATTTTTTTTCTCTGCAGTTGAAGTGAATCCAATACTGGGGTTTCTGTGAGAAAAGCTCCAATAAAGAAATTCTTCAATTAATTTGTTGATTTTATTTATTGTGAGTTCATAATAACAATGCGTTCTTCGACACATCATTGCAACGTATTCACATGTGCTATCTACTCCCTAAAAATGACTGTTTTCTTTTCTCGACTCCCTTAAATGGAGGATGAATATATGTATAAGTTTCTTCGACTCACTCGCTGGTTTATTTTGAATTTAAATGAGCGGACTTCTGAGCAATTTAGCCTTTCTATGAGTGGAGCCTACATGAAAAGGAGATCGGTGAGAAAGAGGTATGTTCCTAGTTAAACTATTCGAGACTGCTGAAACATTGAAATATATTGGAATTATAAAGCTAATTGAAAGGAAATCGTAGGGAAAGTATGCTGGGGCTGGAAAACTTCTTGGATCCTTCGCCAGTTATCTCTTTTCGAATTTACATCTCTCCCTCTTCTTCCTTCTTGACGTCTCTTTTTTGATGCCTTTGAAAAGAAGTCACCGCTTTTGCAGAGAGGCAAACACGAACTACGTCTTTCTCGTCGCTTGATTAGCACCGACTCGTTTTCACTCTCCATCTCATCTTTATTTCACCCAAGCCTGGGCTGGCACGTTTTGCTCACTGCTTTTACATATCGCTTCGTTCGTGAAAGGGCTCCATTTCTCTTTCCTTTAAGATTCTTTTTTTCTTTTTTTTTTGGAACTTATTCCCATCTGTATAACGGAGAATAACATGTTTGGACGTCGTGTTTTCGCGAGCGCGCCGATCCCACGCCACCTCTACGCACGGCTGCACATCCAAACGAGCTCGCAGGCCGCGCGTCGGATGCCCTCCCTCGCGCCGCTTTCCTCGCTGGAAGGGAAAAACTCTAATGTTTTGAATTCTTTAGCCATCGCTAGCGCCCGGGATGGCGCGGTGGGGGCAAATTCATCCCCTTCCCTCGCGAAGATGGAGGAGCTCTTCGCGGTCTGGGCTCCACTCGGAAGCACCGCCGCGTTGGCGTTTCTGCAGTTGAATGGGAAGGGCTTAACAAGTTGGTGCATGCCATTAACGAACCTTCGCTTTCGATTTCATGAGACCTCATTGAGTGGAGGGGAGATGATGCACTCCTTTTGAGGGGATTCTCGACGGGGTGTGTTGGGGAGGCCTTATCGGATGATTTTGGCTAATGCGAGCCCCACGGATCGACGAGGGAAGGGTCTAGTGATGTTTCTTTTTTTTTTGTTGTTGTTGTTGACGGTGTTTGGTGTAAAAAGTCTAACAGGCATCCGCGCTTTGTCTCCGTAGTCCTTTGCGTGTGTGAGTGTGGGGAGGGGAGGGAGAGGAACTGTAAAACAAAATATAAAGGAGTAAACGACGTCGAACTTGTACGTTGCCGTCGAATGCTTCATGCCACCAAGGCCGTTTTGCTTATTGATCGATGAGTTGATCCTGAAGGTCGTGTGTGGTACAAAAGGGTAACGGCGACATTTTGGGATTTGAGGATGAAAAAGGGTCATGTAGGAGAATGATTAATGAAAAACGGTGTGTTCACAGAAAAAAAATTGCAAATCAATAAACTGAAGGGTAAAATCCTTCTCTATCCAAAGAGCTTTGGGCAGGAAAAAACATCGAGTATTGACGAAACCTGTTAGCATTTTCTTGCATTTTTTTTTGTGGCTTCCCATTCTGGAGAAGTACACTAGTAATGACGCTGCGGGACAATTTGAAAACGACATGAAATCAAGAGCTTTCTTTTTCTCTTTTTTTTCCCCTTTCGCTTACCATATATAAATATATATGTATGTATGTATATCTAGTATTACAGTCTGCACCTCCTTTAGTAGAAGGAATCTATATTTCCCATCCAAGCGTTGTTCATTGTTTTTTCTTTCTTCCCGCCTCCCATGCTCCGGCGCATATTCCTCGGTGCGCATAAAATCCTCCGTCCATCGGCTTCTCCTCCGATTTTTTCCATGCCCGCCCGCCATCACGGCCACAGCCACAGTCATAGTCATAGCCATAGCCATTCCGGTATCGAGGCGGATATCGTCGGACGGGATCATCGTCAATGTCAGATCGCCACCGCCGTCGGGGGGGCGACGAATGTGTTTTTTAGCGCGACGAAGATCTGGGCGGGCTCCTCCGGCGGCTCCGTCGCCCTCATGGCGGATGGCTTTCACGCCCTGACGGATATCCTCGCCGACGTCGTCTCCTTCTCCTCGTTATCGCTCTCTCAGAAGAAGCTGCCGCGGTGCCGATTTCCATTTGGGATCGGCCGTCTGGAGACGAGTGGGGCGATTTTCGTCTCCGGGATCCTCCTCTTTGGGGGGTTTACGCTGCTGGTGCAGTCGTTTTGGAGTTGCGCGGCGGATTTGTGGAGTTTGGCGGGCGCGATGATCCCGGAAGGGACGGCGCAGGTGTTCCACAGTTTGGCCGCCACTGCTAGGGGTTTTTTTTTCTCCATCACGCCCCCCCCTCGGCGGATTTATCCGCCTCGTCGTCGTCGTCGTCTTCCGCGACGACGGGGTCGTTTCACGCGCATTCGCATCTTTCCACTGGCGATCATCACGGCCACAGCCATTTCGAGCTCACCCGACGGGATAGCCAAACCGGGGAGGCGATGGTGATGTGGGCGATGGTGCTCCTCGCGGCCTCGTCGGTGGTCTGCAAGGAACTCCTCTTTCGGTGGTCCAAACGCGTCGGGGAGCGGGCGGGATCGCGGGTGGTGGTCGCGAACGCCTATCACCACCGCGCGGATGCCTGGAGCGGCGGCGTCGCGTTGATCGGCGTCGGCGGGCAGATGATGGGGATCCCCGGGGTGGATGGGATCTCAGGCCTCGTCGTTTCCCTGTCGGTGTGTAAAATGGGGTACGACCTGCTGCGCGATTCCGTGCTCGAGTTTTTCGACCACCAACGCGGCGAGGACGTCGCGCGGGTGCGGAAACAGCTGATGAAGTTCTACGTCTTCTTGGAAGCGGAGGGGAAATTGCGATTGGAGATCAGTGAATCGGACGCGGAAGGGGAGCGGGACCTCGGGCAGGGGTCCCTTCCCTTGCCGTTGGTCGGGTGTAGCACGGGGTCGTGCGCGCTATCGGTGCGCGCCACCACCGATGAACTTCCTCCGCAGGGGGGCCCGGAGACGAACAAGATGCGGTTTGTGAACGTATTTTTAACGCGTCACGGTCGCTTCTATGTGGTGCACATGAAGGTGTTACTCCGCGATGACTTCACCGCGCTCCAGCTCCAGACCGCGCTCTCCAAGCTGAATGCCTATCTCTCTCGAAGTCTCTCGATTCAGGATGTGTTTGCCTCCGTGCAGGTGTGCAGCGAGGTGGCTATGCCACGAAAGGAGTACATCGAGCTCTATAAAAAGGATATGAATGGAGGAACGCAGTCTGAAGCGAAGGCCACGGAGGTGCACACGGCCGCCGAAGGGGATCTGGTCAATCCCACCTTGGAGGATTGCATGCATATGCTTATCGATTTCCATGCCTTTCAGCATGGAATCCAGTATAACTGGGAAAAGCGTGAAATCTACGTCACTGTGAAACACAAGAATGACTGCTTTCGCGATGTGGAATCCGTTGCGAAGATGTTTGGGTGTAAACTTATCGCAAAGGAACCCACGACGCGTAAGCACGGTCAGTGCACCTTGTAATTTTTGACAACAGCGGCATAGGGCGGAGTCTCAGAAAATAAAGACAGTCATAGACCTCAGATATGTATATCTTCTCACTGTGTGTGAGGGAGTGGAAAAGGGATTGGTGATGGCGTTTCCTTTATTGCTGTGCATTGTTGTTAATTATTTTCTAGTTTGTGATTGGTGAATTTTTCCTTTATAGACTCAACGTGGACATAAATATATACATATATATATATTATATATATATATATATATACAGCATATAAATTTGTTTAGTTTGATTAAAAAAACTAAAATGTGCGAGTATCCAAGCTTTTGATAGCTTCGAAGGGGCATCATTTTTATGCGATTTAAGTGTGTTTTACGAGCAATGATTAGTTTCTTCGTTATACATACGGATACGCAAGGTTGTTGAGACTACCATACTTTTTCTTAGTATACCCAGAAAATGATATTGGTAAAGAGGAAACGACACATGTCTACTAACTATTTTTAGTTTGTCATCTGTGATCTTTGGTGACGACATCACCCATAAGTATGAAATTTAAATGGAACATCGGTTGCTATGAATGCATTTCCTCATATTTTTTTCCTATCGTTTTGCGACTGATGAAGTGTCTGACCCACTGGTGTACTTCATTCCCCCCCCCCCCTTCCCCTATGCAATGCGATCTTTTTCTTCTCCTTTTTTTCTTCCTCCCCCTCTTTGGTTGGTGGGATTTTTCTCTGTTTTTCATCCCCTGAAGGTCCACACACGCGATGAGTGATGATTTCTTTGACTTCGACGACGAGTTCGGTGTCGACCACGCGCACTTCTTCGACGAGGCGGTGCACGACGACGGGGTGGTGGGGAGTGCAGGGCCCCTCCCTCCCCTCCCTTCCTCTGCCGCCGCCGCGGATTCTCCGCTTGACGGGTGGACGGATGGGGAAGGGGGGTCGGCACGGCCCGCCCGCGTGGCTGTTCGGCGGTATCTCCCAAATGTGTCGGAAGACGCCTTTCCCGTCGTCGTTTCCGTCCTCGCGCAGGCAAACTTAGGGGTTGGGGTGGATCTTCGCACCCTCAGCTGCGCCACACGCAACGTGGAGTACATCCCAAACAGCCGAAACGCGTGCGCGACGATGCGGCTGCACGAGCCCAGCGCGGTCGTTCTCGTGCGAAACAGCGGCGCCCTCACGATTGTCGGCGCGGCGGGGTTGAGTGAGGCTCGCCAAGCCGCCGAGCTCGCCGCACGGGTGATTCGAAAGGCCATCGGACTCTCGATCGACACCTTTCGGTTTCGCGTCCGGTCGATTATGGCGCGGTTTAACGCCTGCAGTCCGATCCGACTGGATGATCTCGCGCATCATAGCTTGGATCCTCGCGAGAGCGTGGGGGTGGGGGCGATTTCTTGCGTTTACGAGCCGGAGCGGTTTAACGGGTGTGTCGTGCGGCTGGAAGGGACCTCGGAGCGAAATCGATGGGTCGTCACCACGACGGTGTTCGTAACGGGAAAGATCAGTATGTTGGGAGCGCGGAGTTTGGAAGAGTTGCGTTTCGCGTTTGACGCGTTGATTCCAATTTTGGGGAAGTATATTGGCGGGACGGGGCCGGTCGATCATCCGGCCTCATCGTCCGGGCAAGCTCCAGTGGTTTCTGCCGCGGGTTTCCCCTGAAAAAAAAAGAAGGGGAGCGATATAGTCGATTAAATGCTTGTAAGGTGGGATGGGGTGTCTGCCAGACGTATTCAGGGGAAAAACCAAAACTCAAAGCCGAGAGGGAGGAGATGAATTTGAAAATATGGCGCTTAGAATTTCCATACCATTTATCCACCCTTTTTGTATTTTTTAAATATATATATATATATATATATATATA